CATTCCCTCTTTTAGTGTGGCTGATCAAGAGCTGATGGGGTTTTCATTTGTTTTTATTTATTTTGTTGTTGATGTTGTTTCTGTATAGGCACCTGATTGGTCTCCATGCACGGGGCTTGGGGGCATAGGCAAAGAAGGTTTCAGGCTGGATTCAGTTTTCTGTGGTCAGTTACCTCCTCCCTGTGGCCTCTTGATCTTGGATCCCAGATGTGGCATCTTTCCGGAATGATGTTTTTAATCTTTGGAGAACTTCTTGATTCAGGAGAATTGTCCTTGATGCCTTCTTGGGAAATGCGTTGGTTACTGACACCGCTGTCATCTCCTGCTTCTTTGGACTTTGCTGCTAAAGGTCATGGCTGGGAACCTCCCGAGCAACCTGTCCTTGGGTTCCTGGGGTCACCTTGTCCAGCCTCACGGAGAACAGGCAGAGCCAGGGAGTTTGCGTTTGTCTTGGCGGGGCAGGGGCGGGGGGGCAGTCTCTAACAGAGGACACCCGGCGCAGCGGGGCTTGCAAAGGTTGCAGACCGGAGCACCCAGGGTACGGAGTCAAGGCCAGGACTTGACCTAACTGTGCCCGAGTCCCCTTCTTCTCCGTCCTGCTCCTCCCTCCCTCATGGGCCTCTCCTAGGCGCAGTGTGGGAGTCCATCCCGTGGCCAAGTGTCGGCTTCCGAGGGAGCCCACCCTAAAACGAACCCTATTCTCTCCTGTTTCATCCAAAAGAATCTGGAATAAAAAATGGGTACTCCTCTCTAGATGATAGAGGAGGGACACTTAAATCTCTCCCCAGGTTTCATGGAGAGAATGTTAGCAGCATCTGTGTGTTTTAATCTTTGCAGAGTTGTAGGCATCTGTGCTGAGGAGGAGGATAAGCGATACTTTCAGCAATGGCTGAAAGTATAGGGCTACATGGGCGGCGGGGAGAGGTGGTCTAAGAAACCAACACAGCCATTCGTTGCATGTCTGCAGGGTTCCACATGCTGTGCAAAGTGCACACATGTGCCAGCTCATTCCACCCTTGAGACTAACCTCTGAAGTCAGTAAAATAATAGCCCCACTGTACAGATGGGGAAACTGAGGCATGGGGCATTTCCGTAGCTGGCGTGATCATATTGGCAACAAGTGGCTCCACCCACCTCAGACACAGGAATTCCGCAGAGAGGTTGAGGGAGTTTCCACGCCCCACTTTATACCTTCTGAATAACGGGAGATCGATGTATAGGAGCAAATCCCCACCCCACCCCCGACAACTGCCCCAAAACTGCCACTTAACACAGACAGGACTTCCTGGAAGTGTGACTGGGACTGAAATACATGCACTGTTTCCAGTGGGGCAGAGAGCGGGCTGTTTCCCTGCTCCTCGCCGCTCCTCCTGCCTGGAAAACGTGGGGTGGGCGGGGCTGGGGGGTGCTGTGGTGGGGCGGGCGGGGGGGGGGGTGCTGTCTGTCACTCACTGTTGCTCTGAGAACAAAGCCAGCCTGACATCGCGGGCAGAGCCCCGGGAAGCCCATCAAAAGCTCCACTGGAACTAGACAACCTTTCAATCCATTTATCAAAGTGTCTGCAGTTCCCGTCTCAAGGTAGCTGAAGCAATAATAAATTTGCAAAGAAAGTTAATCTGTGTCCAAAACATTTTAGTAAATTAAAAAGGTGGAAGGGGGGCGGGGTAGCTGGAAGGAGGATGTATTGGTTCTTGCCAACTTCTATTTGACTTACTGTCTCCTTAATAAGTCCTCTTTGGTCTTGTGTTTTTGGACGGAATAATCAGTTGGTTAATCATTTTCCGGAAGCAGGAAAATGCACTTTAGCTAATGCAGTCCCCTTTCTCTCAGAGCCCTAATTATTTAAAAAGGCATCCCAATCCGTAACCCCACTTACCAACCAAGAGGGCCTTTCCCACCCGCGTCTCCCTTTACTTCCCCCAGCACACCCTGGCACACCTCCCTCCGACCCCGCCCCAACCGCCTGCCTTTCATCTGATGTTTAAAAAAAAAAAAAAAGTGAGTTCCCTTTTTTGGTCACTTCCCAGCATTCCCCCTCAGGAAGGGGGGCGCACTCAAGCCTCGAGAAGCAATTGGCCAGAACTAGACTCTGGGGCACCACGGATAGATTTTGTTATTTTTATTTAAGTGTCAGCTGAGAATGGTGGCTCTTGTCTCCCTCAAGGACAGCACTTAGCAATAGCTCCGTGCCCCGGCATCACGCGGAGATAAACACGCTATTAGGAACCCTCACAAAGGCCCGGAGATAATTGCGAAGGGACAGCCACCGAAAATGAAGCGCCAGCCCCGAACCCTCCTCCACGCCCCGTCAGTTAACACCATTAAAGCTGTCAGTTTGTCAGCCTACTGGAGGTATTTATGAAATCAATACACACTCGCGCACGCGGGTGGCGGCGGCATTGTTCGCTGGAGAGGAGAGGCTCGATGGAAAATAAAATTAATAAAATTTATAAGCAGATTGTCGTGGAGAACAGAGAAGCGCCCCGCAATCTACTGGTTTGGCTCCGTTGTGGCAAGAGCAGACCCATGGCAGGGAGGGGGGTGGGGAGGAAGCTGGGGGAGAAAGCCTGGGCCCCTCGAACGCGGGGTGGGACTGGGGGCATTTACGGCGAGAAGGCAGCGAGCAGAAACCCAAGGGGCTGCCCCGCCCGAGCGCAGGATTCTGCCTGTGCGGCCACTCCTGTGGGAGATTTCCCAGCAACCCCGCCAGGTGCTTCTGCTTCAACATTGCTCTCCCCTCTCTTGGCCCCACTGCAGTGCAGAGCAGAACCTTTGTGCCACTGGTGTTCCTTCCGGGTGTTCTGGGGTCCTCAAACTCAAGGGACCAATGCGTTGCTGGGGTGTGAGCTCCTCGTGGCTTCCAAGCACGGTCAGAGTGGACAGTTCTAAACGTCTCTCCTGTGTGCTCCCTCAGCCTGGAGTTTGGTCCTCAGCCGTTTGCCTGGAGTGTGGCCTGAGCTGTTTCCCAAAGCGGCCAGAGAGAGCAGCTGAGCCAGGGCGGGCAGTGGGCCGGGGGCTTGCTGTCCCGGAGGCCAGCCTCTGCTTGGCAGAAAAGACTGGGCCCATTGTGGCTGCCGGAGCCTCGGGTGCGGCCCAGATGCCTGGTGGAAATCGCATTAGTCAGATGACAGGACCCGGGCCCCCTTCTCTTGGAGGCTGATGGAGAGCAGAGGCGTGGCCTTGGTGACACTGCCTGACCTTTGCTGTCATCGTGGGCTTTGTTCAGCGCCCCGACTCCAGGCCGGAGCCCTGCTCATTGAATCAGGCCCAGCCGGGGGAGCCTGCAAGCAGGCCCCTCGTGCATCTAAATTTACTTACCTCGGGGGCAGACAGAGGAAACTGGATTTGAGATGGAGAGCCCCCTGCTACCCAGCCCCAGGAGCCACCGGGATGCAGATCTGCGCCCAACCCCCAAGGCTGAGCCTGGCCTCAGAGCCCAGCAGTGGCCCCAGGCAACCCCAGCCTCTCCAGCGTCTGCCCTGGCTCAGAGGGTGGCAGCTCCCCTCAGCAGACGACAGAGGGAAGATGACCCCTCTTCTGCTTTCTAGCGTCCTTCCTGCCCCCTGGCGATATGTGAACTGCGGGGGCCCAGGTTTTGGTGGGGGTGGCAGTCTGACCTCTCTTTGCAGCTACACTGGGGACCTGCTAGAGCTTTTGATGAGGCCTCCGTGGGAATCGGCACGGGGGTGTCCCTTGGTGCACTCGGGCTCCAGGGCAACTTGGCTGTTTAAAGACCTGTTTGCCCTCTGACCCAGCACCTGCTCCTTGTAGGACATCCCCAAACTGCGTGGACAGAGAAACTCATCGTCGTGTTTTCCAAAATCGCAAATTAACTAATTCACTAAGTAATACCCATCTATATAGCCATCTACACGCTCGGATGAGGTGCAGGCATTAAAATGTTGGCATAGATGCACCGTTAGCGACAGAAACAGATGTTCTCAATATAATAAGTGAAAAAGAGGTTATAACAGGCTATATGCTATGAGATCATATTGGTGAAATTTATATATAAATTACTCCTAATTGGTAACAGTGCTTACGTCTGGGTAGGTAATTTTTTTGGCCTTAATAGCTGAAGGTTTTTGTGTTCACTTCAAAATAATGGAGATATATATCTATAACTATAGATACAGGCATGTGTGTATGTATGTATGATTCATATATGTAACTATAGATCTAAACATACATATGATTGATTACTCACTGAGATCCCAAGCTGCTCGAGGGATGAATGGAAACCGTGCGAGTGTTTGGTCTAGCAAAACATTTAAACAAATAAAACTGGAAAATGAAAATGGAAAAGACTCGAGGTTTGGGGGGATTCTTAGGGGGCCCCGGCAGAAGATCTGGGTCTGAGCCAGCCCCCAGAGCCCCCGACCCTCCCCAGAGCAACACGGGGCCCTGCACGATGCCCAGCGAGGTGCCCGTGGGGCCCCCGCTGTGGACGGCCCTGAGGAAATGCCGCGCGAGTTCCTCGAGCCCCTCACAGAGATGACCCCGCAGGCTCCCGGTGCTCCCGGGGACTCGGGGGCCCACGGAGACGGTCGGTCTCTATCGGGAAACGCGGCCGGCCAGGCTCCACTCCAATCCCGGACGACAAAGGCAGAGGGTCCCTGAGAGGTGGCAGATGGAGTGGTGGGGACCCTTCCTCGGGGGAGGGACGCCGTGGGGAAGGAGGGGCAGGGGGTCATCTCCAGGAGGTGGCAAAACAGAGGATTAGGTGCCGAGCGTGCAACAAATAACCCAGCGTCTTGGCTCGTGGCCTGGAGGTGCGAGACCACCCACAGAGCCCGCCCTGGAGGCGAGCGCTCCCGCCTGGTAACCATTTCGGCAAAGGCCACCTCCAGAGGAACAATGTGAGGGCTTGTAGCAGCCTGGGGCCCGAGACTAAACAGGCCCCCAAACAGCCTCCGAGGGGTTTTGTTATCATAATGAGATGCAGATCCAGCCGCCCGAGTGAGTGGTTAACTCCGTGTGCCTCTTCTCTTCTCGTTTAGAGATCTGAGCGAAAACCAGATCCTGGGGATCCCAAGGAAGGCGTTCCGCGGCATCGCCGACGTGAAGAACCTGTAAGTAATGTGGTTTCTTTTTGTTTTGTTTTTTTTTTTGCTTCGCCGCAGAAGCGGCTCTCTTACCAGGGCAGGGGTGAGGGACAGGATGAGAAGGCGGTGTCACTGGGCCGTGTGTGTGCGGCCTCGGCCAGGCACCTTGGAGACAGACTGGGCGATGTGCTTACGAGGTTTCCAGGGAACACAGGTCAAGTGCCCCGACAGCCAGCTCCGCGCAGTCCTGTTCTTCCCTGGATGTCCGTCCCCACGTGCAAGCATCGGCATCCCAGACCTGGGTGGGAGGCTGGCCTCACTGCAGTAGTTCCGTGGTCTGGGACTCAACTCTGCTTCCCCCGGGGTCGTCATCTTCTCTACAGCTAGGATGGTAACCCGATGGGGCTGCTGATGCACATGAGAAAATATTTTAAATGCTTACTGCATAGCACACAGTAAATGTTCAGTAAATGGGAGGAGGAGGAGGCTCGTGATGGTGAAGGCCTCACTGCTGTTACCAGAATCTGGGAGGGAGCCTGGGACTCGGTCCCAGAATCCTGGGGAGACAGAGACAGATCCAAACCACTAGGCGCTTGGATTTTTCTTTTAATTTGGAATAATTATTGATTCATAGGAAATGTCACAAAATGGTAACAGGTCCACGTTTCACCCGGTTCTCTCCCAGTAGAGAGATTTCTCTCGCAATTTAGTATAATATCAAAACAAGGAAGCCGATATGGGCAGGCTCCTCCGACCTTATTCTTCAGATCCCACAGCTCTCATTTGTACACGCTCACACTTGAGTGTGCGTGCGCACGCGCAGCTCTCTGTGACCATCTCACGTGCCGATTCCTGGGCCCCTAGCTGCAGTCCGAGGGGGGCGGTCCCACGGCTGCGTTCTGAACTGGCCCGACACCCTTGGTCGTGTGTAATTGCCCCCACAGTCTTGATTCTCAGGGAGGCAGCTAAATCTCACAGTGGTTCTCAAAAGTACATGGGGGTGTGGGGTTTGTTGTTGTTGCTGTTTTCCTGTAGTATATCCTGAACCTCACGAAAGCCTCGGCAGCTGGAAGATTCGGGGTTCTGCGGGCGCGGGTTCCTGCGTCCCCCAGGATCCGCTGTCAGTGCCCCCGGTCCGGGCCAGGCAGACGCGCTCAACGCAGGGGCCCGGACAGCAGCGAGGCCTTTGGTCTACGCCAGGGCTCCGCATGTGGACTGGGGGGGGCAGGGGTGCGGGAGTGGAGGTAACGCCCTGCTCGAAGAGCGGATTAACCGGCAGAAGGGAAGGGGGACGGGTGACTTCACGCCCCTAATCACTTCAGTCAGCGCTCATTTACCGGCCAGAACCCGTGAGTCCCAGAAGTCCCGTAATTCACATTATCAGGTGGCTTCTGGTAAAACCGGGGGCAAGAAACGTGGGTGTACAAGAGAACGTTCTGTGGTTGAACAGTCCACGAGGGAAGCGGCTGTGCATGCACGGTAAAGGGCTCTCAGAGCTCAGAGAAGGAAAACAGCGCTAGGCAGCGTTGCCTACAGGTTAGCATCCTGGCCTCGGGGCCTGGCAGACCTGTGCCTGGTTTCCAGCTGTTCGGTGGGCCAGCCGAGTCTGCGGCCTTACGTGCATCACTTGGCACTTCTGAGCCTGCGTTTCCTCCCCGGAAGACGAGGGTCAGAATCATACTGAACCTGCTGGGGTTTTCGTGAAGGTTAGTAAAATAATGCATCTGAATGACTTAGCACCATGCTTGGCACGTGGAAGTTATTTAGAAAGTTCTAGCTGCTGTTATGGCTGTATTCCTTTGGGTTGTTATGACTGTAAAGACTTTACACTGTGAATTCCAAGCGTCCGTCAGCGTGAACGAGGCAGGTCTCATGGGCAAAGTGTGGAGGCAAACCTGTGGAAGGTGTGTGTCCAGGGACACGTGCAGAGCCATCCCGTGGGAGAAGGGGTGGTTATGAGGCATCACAGCAGGTGACAAGGTCAGAAAGAAAAGAGGAGACCAGGTGGCAATGAGGCCCTCCAGCAAGGGGTATGAACTTCGGAGGCAGACACCAAGAATGTGGCCGGCTTCTGCCTGGGAAAGGTCTCGATGGGAACAAGGACAGTGGAAGAGAAACCTGGGGCAGGGGGGGCAGAACAAGGAAAGGCTGGGCTGCAGATGAGGCTGTGGTTCGCCACGAGGGCTCAGGGCCTGCACTTGGGAGGGAGCCGTCGGAAGTGGAAGGGGGAACCCGTGGGGACCAGCTCAACAGAACTGGTCAAATGGTGAGTCACCGGAGCCGGGGCGGGAGGTGGGGGAGGCAGAAAAGTAGAAAATGGTGCATCTGAGCTCTGACAATGCAGAGAATGCTGGCAGGTCCTCACAGTCATTCATCCGGGCAGCCATCAGAATATTTGTGGAGCCTGTCAATGCCAGTTCTGGGAGAAACCAAAGAAAGTGAAATACACGGATCTGTGGGCTCTGCCTTCTTGGAGCTTCCGGTCCGTGGAGACGGAAGGGCCAGGAGGAGGCTTGGGGAGCACGAGCTGCGTGCGGAGTGGGATCAAGCCTCCCACGGACGACGTGAAAGGAGCGTCTCCTGTGTGTTCGGAAGCTGGTGGCTCACCCGCCACTCGGTTCCTGCCGGTTCCAGGACTGTGGCCCGTGAGCCACGGCTCTGTCCGCGGGCCTCGGCTTTAATAATGTGTCTAGTAAGGGGAAGGTCAACTACACGTGCAGCCTTAGGAGACAAGGTCTCGTGGGTAATAATGAGAGACCTCGGACTGGAGCTGAGGAGCAGGTTCAAGGAGGGGAACACCTGGGCGGAAGCAAGGGTGGAAGTCGTATTAAATTTGCATCCCTACGTGTAACATGGGAGACACTTTGCAGACATTGAGTTTGTACAAACCCTGTCCAGGAAACACGCCTTCTCCCACTAGACTTCACTCACCCGCACCTAGATCGTCCCTCTTGTGAGTGGCGAGCAGCAAGTTTGGAATCTCAGGGACGTCCGTCCCCACCACCACCCTCACGGCCCAGGCCCAGGCCCTCGCCACCCCCTCGTGCGAGCCGGGGCCGCAGCGCTGCCCCATGGCCTTGGTGAAACGGGGGCGGGAGGTAAACTGTGGGACCCTCGGGTTGTGACGTGACCGCCGCCGTGCCTGTCACGGCACCATGTGCTTCACCAAGAGGAGAACATCGAGGATTCTCTGCTTTTTTTTTAACTTTGTAGCTTTGGCGTGGATTTTCTTCGTTCGCCCTGACATTCTCCTTCGAGGAGGAAGTCTGTGATATCCCCCATTTTCCAGATGATACCATTACGTTTCCACCAGCAGGTGCCATTTAGTAAAAGTCAGCAGATACAGCTGGGCCTGGGCTTCTCCCTGCTCTCCCCCACTCGCCCCCACACCCAGCCTGCCCTCAGTCGCACGCACGGCCGTCTTTGGGGCTCTATCCAGAGCCGTCTGTGTACACAGACTCCTCCCCGCTCGGCCGGGCCGGCAGCAGGAGGAAGGAAAAGTACCGGAGGAGGCTGCTGGGGGGGTGGAGGCCTGGTTCACAGAGGCAAGTGGGCATGAATGCAGCTGTGACCGGAGCCGAGAGAGGGACGCAGGCAGGTGGTGTTGGAACCCTGGGGGAAGGTGCAGCCACCCACATCACACTGGTGCTGAAGGGACTTGGTGCCCTGACCACCCCCCACTATCTTGGCAGCAGAGGGAGACCCCTAATTGCTTCCTGCTTCTCCAGAGAGGAGAAAGTAATTAGCTGAGGATACCACTGTTTGCAATTACTAAAAATAGATTTTATGGGCTGGTCCCACTCTGCTGCCTGTCTGGAAGAGACGGAGAGTCTGACCTGGAGACAGCAGCATTTGGCACACCAGTATCACCCGCCGTGCGTAAACGCCACACTAGGCTCTGGATAGAGACAGCGAGCGAGAGAGAGAGAGGGAGGGAGGGAGAGCCAGGGAGAGAGAGGGCGAGAGACAGAGAGGATGATCAGAAAGACATAGACATAGGAAAAGAAGAAATTAATTGGAAAAAAAGAGAGAGATGACAAGCCACAATCCAACAAAGCATAATGAGAAAAAGACAAAACCAGTGTAGATTGTTTTTTTTTTCAATGTCCCTTTGCCCTATCTTTCTCAGCAGTTATGTTTTCCTCTGTTTTTCAGTTTCTATTTGCGAGGCCTCTGTAGGACATGCATTCCAGAAGGGAAAATCAATAACCCCTGTCTCTGCCAGCACGCAGAGTTTGGAATTGACGGTTCCAAAACAAAGCCGGGCGGGCGGCCTCTGCGTCCTCCAGTCGGTCGGAGTCGCTGCGCTGCCCTCCCGCTTCCGAGATTAATGAGGGCTGTCTCCACCCCAGTGAGCAGGCTGCAGTCTTCGGTGGGGGCGAGGGGGGTGGGGGGAGGGAGGGGAAGCTTCCCCAGTCAGCCTCTCTGTCTGCTGATCTCCACAACCCTTCGTCCTGTGGCTGCACCTGGGACGGAGTTCACACCCCTGGCCACGCCCTGCGAGGCTGTACACTGGGTCTGCCTCCTCCGCCCCTGGTGTCCTGCTTCCCACGCTCCATGTCATCCCTCCAACACACTGAGCTCCTCGCTGCCTCAGGGCCTTTGCACCTGCTGTTTCCTTAGCACCCGCTATGCTAAGGGCTCAGACCTCCACGCAGCTGGGTCCTTCTGATCTTTCAGATGTCAGCTCAGGTAACCTCAGAGTGACATTCCCTGACCCACTTGAAGCAGCTCCCCACCACCCACCACCCCTCTTCTCTGTCCCGTTACCCAGTCACATCACAGAACAAACATGGGCACACAGGGGCCCTGCCTGTCTCAGTCACTGTGAGGTCCCCGGTACCCAGATGGTTCACGGCAGAGAGCAAGGCGGACTGAAAGTGTATCAAAGGAACGTTTGTGTTCCTTCATTCCTCAAGTGTTTGCAGTTGGCGTCTTACCTACAGAAACCACGCACAACTGTGCAAATGTTCCGCGTGAAAATGGTACCGCAGACAGAACGAGACACCGTGTCTGCACTCGGAGGG